TTACAAGAATTGGAAATGTTTATTCTTGTGCTTATGAGCTAAGTTATATTAAAGGGTAGGTGCGACTTTGGATATGTCACTCCCCCAACCATTAGAAAAGAACCTGTCCTCAGGTGTTTAAGTTCGGGTATAGTACAACATTTTCTTTTTTTTACAATTGGTGTATCTTCTACTATTGTAGGTGTTTCTTCTGTTTTTGGTTTGTTATATTTTATAATTAATTTCTTAGGTATGCTTTTAAACTTATATGTTAAATACAGTGTTAAACTTATTAATATGATTACAAATATGGTTATTGTAATTATCTGGAATACATTGTTAATTTCTGTGTGTTCATTTATAATTCGTTTCGTTTGTACAAACGAAAGTGGTTCTAATTTTATAACATTGCTTACGTAAATGCTTTGAGTATAATCTAACATATTGTTTGAAATTGAAATTTCATTAATTTGCAGGGAACAATTAAAGTTTTTTATTATATTGGTTCCTTCTATTGTTATTTCGTTATTTATACAGTTATGGTTTAATATAGTTTTTGGTAAATTCCAAGTTAAAATTATATTTGGTTCAACAGTTGATTTGAAAATTTTGTAAAGTTTTAGTATAACTACATTCTGATGAAATTTGGTTTAAAATTCCTGTCAAACATTCATTATTAATTAATTTTTTTGTTTCTTTGCTATAAACTTTTTTGTCTTGGGTAAACGATTTTTCATGAGCTATTTCTGTCAAAATGTTATTATTATCATCCGGGTATGGAATTATTTCGAATACCGGGTTTTTTATTATTTCTCGAGGAATATGGAATATTATAAGTATTTCGTTTGTATCTGATTTAAACCAAGTGGAAGTTTTTGTATTCAACAATTTATCAGAATTAACACTGTAGTGGCGCTTGAAGCAAGAACAATTTGTTTGAGTTTAAATAAACAGCCCAAAAATAGACAATGTAAATCCAGCCAACGTCTTGTACCTTGCTTCCCCTAGTAGATCTCGCCATCTATGGCTCAACCCGGGCGTAATATCGCTTGTAACTAGTGAAAGAGAAAACATAGTAGAGGAATGTTAATTTGATAATTGGAAATCGCGTCTGTCCTGGTGTCGCTGTAAATAGCTTTCCTTAAGCCGATCGGAGCTCAGATCTTTCTTTTACCTTTGGTCCACCATGGAGAAAGACTGACTCACAAAAAAAAAAAAAAAAGTAAGAAAGTGCGCCTATTTACAATCGCGCTTAACCTCTGAGAAACAGTATTTTCGGAAGCATCATTTTTAATAGAAGTAATTTAAAAAAAAAAAAAGAAAAAAAATTCTAAGTGCCCGCATTGATGAACCACTTCTCAGCCGCCAGTTGGTCGCAAATTATTTGAGAAAACAAAAAAATAAAAAAAGTGCCAGACCCAATCAGGGGTAAGTTAGATTTTTGCTAGACAGTTTTTTTGTTGAACCAAAAGACTTAAAAGCACTTATATTTCAACCTGTCTATTGCAGGTATGGCGCTTCGTAATATTCTCATCAACAAAATATAATGAGATATTATAGTCTTTCGACTTTCTGCAAGTAGCAGCGGCAAACATTTCTTTTTTTTTGCCTGCCGAAGCCCAAAATATGCAGAGCGCCTGTAATTGTCATCTTTAATTCGCCTTGTCGCAAATAGCTTAATCAGCTGCGTCCAGCTTTATCGCATCTTCAAATCTCGTTATTTCGTTTCGTGCTCTCTAGCCTGCTCGAAAATGGGAGTTCGAAAGACGAATTAGTAAGAGACGATCGCCGTCGCCGAAACTCCAAAAATTAGTTGGAAATCGTTCCCTGGTGGCTGATGTCGTCAAAGCAAGCTACGTTTATTTTGGTCGCGCAATAATTTTTTTTATAAGCGAAACGAAATCTTATTTTTTGTAGTGTTATATTTTTGCAGGAAAAATGAATAATTAGCTTAGCTAACAAAAAAAGTGAAAAAGAAACTGAATAAGTCCTATTGTGAACGCCATAGGCGTAGTCAAGTCGCCTTAAGCGCATAATTTAAAATTTTACATTAGGTATGTGCGAGTTTCTTTTTTTTCTTTTTTTTTCGGCAAAAGAGTGCAACCGCTAGTCAAATTCTTATTCCGCATTTTTTTTTTCTTTAACTCCGTTTTTTCTTGCCCTACATATTCTTTCCATTGGCCTATTTTTATCTCTCCTTCCATGCTCCGAAATTCGGATCGCCATATTGCTGGTAAGAGCCAGATTTTAAAGAGAAAGAGAGAATACAAGTCACATGAAGTTCGAAAAATAATTTTGTTATCTAGTGCCTTCTTTTTTTATTTTTTTCTAATTTTTTTTTTTTGGTGTGCAATCCGAAGTGATTTTTTTTTTCAGCAGATCATCGCACATTACATCGATGGAAGCGCTTTCGGAGATGGAGTGAATGCATGTAAGTGAAGCAAAAAAAAAACTCTTAAATTTTATTTTTCTTTGCACTAATAATAATAATTTAATAGATAATTTAATGCCGCGTTTAAGAGCAAAAAAAAAAAAAAATCGGTAAAGAGAAAACGTTAAGAGAATAATCTATTTCAACTGAGCGTTACAGCTTTCGCTAAATGAATTAAAAATTTAAATGAATTTTTGTCGAACAAAAAAAGAAAGAAAGGAATAGTTTTTACTTTTACCAATTTGGGTCATAGACCAAATTAGAACCTCACCTAGAAAAATTCTTTATCTATGTGTAATATAAGGTTTTTATTAATTTTCTTTTCTTTTCTACTATAAAAATACAAAAAAAAAAAATGTTTAATGGCTAAGAAAAATTTCGATTTAACTCCCCAATTCACCACAAAAATAAATATATGAACTTATAATTATGTGCTAATTTGCCTATTTATGTTGGAGCCATGCGTCGTCGGAATGTTAGGGTAATGTAATCTGTGTTGTTTTAGGGATCACCGACCATTTGTCTGGTCATGCGGCTCCGGTGATCATGGTAGGGTGGGCAACAGCTATCGCATTGATACCAGCGCAGCATAACAACAACATTTACAGCTACGGTCCCTAATCAATCTAATACAATTTCAGTAACTCTGTAGATTTTTTCCTAACCACCGTAATTTTTTTTGTGCAATCGAACTAGACATTAGCACGCGAAATTTTTATATATAATTATAAGAGCTTGCGAGCAGGTAGCTTAGCCATTTATGAGTCAACCCACCCCAGCCGACTTCACTGTGCCGGAACCAGCGAGTGCTTCGCTAGACGCTACACGGACATCAGCTCGCTTACATACGTTGTATGTTACAACACGCAACAAATAGTCATGTTTTAGTAATTTCGGGATAAAAATGCCTAATCTTGTGATCTGCATTCCCATCTCAATGTCTTCTATATATTCTGTAAAGTGTTGTAAGTTAAATATAAGGATATCTAATTTCTTTCCTTTTTGTTTCTCTTGATCTAGTTTGTGCATGATTTCTATTCCTTTGTTTATAGCTTCTATTATGTGATTTAATTCGTTAACCTGAGCGCTGTTTTCTGCTAAGCTGCTTATTTTTTGTTCAATTTCTGTCTTGTCTTCTTGGTCTAATGTTCCAAATAAGTATTTATATACTGTTCCTACTATGTTAACTAAACCTCTTTTCCTGCGTTTGGCTATTTTTAAGCTGTTTATTTCTCTGTTTAGTTTTTCTACTAGGTATTCGATTTGTATTGGGTTATTAAATTCTTTACTTTGTTCAATTAAGTTGTTAAAAGTTTCTTCGGTTTTTGTTATGTTAACCGTTAAACAGTGGAATTCGTAATCTGTAGGAATGACTATGGTTCCTGTTTTAGATATGAGATAGCCGTTATGGGCTTTTATAGGATTAATTTCAATGCTTTGTGCATTTATATGGTTTACAGTTCTTGATAGTAATATTATATTAATTAGTTTAAGCTGGTGCTTGTATGTTTTGATCGCTGTCTCTTGTTAACCTGTAATTGTTATATTTGCTTTGATTAGTCTTCTTTTTATACCCTGAACCCATTAAAAATGGGTACAAGGGTATATTGTATTAGTGCAAAATCCAAATATATGTAACAGGCAGAAGGAAGCATCTCCGACCCCATAAAGTATATATATTCTTGATCAGCATCAATAGCCGAGTCGATCTAGCCATGTCCGTCTGTCTGTCCGTCTGTCCGTCCGTCCGTCCGTCCGTATGTATGAACGCAAGGATCTCAGAACCTATAAGAGCTAGAGACTTGAAAATTTTTATGTAGATGCTCCTAGCTCCCGCGCAGATCGAGTTTGTTTCCGATAATCGATAACTTACTCCGTTTCCAAGCAATCGATAAAAATCTATATCGATATCCTGTTTTTTGGGCAATTTTGGTAAATAATAAGAGCTAGAGTCACCAAACTTGACATATAACTTCTAAAATAGAATATATATATGCATTTGCTGTTGGAAGAAGAGAGTTCAGGGTATCCCCTAGTCGGGAGCTCCCGACTAGAACCTCTTACTTGTTCTTTTTAAATTTGGTTTTGTAATGTGTTATCTTCCTGCCTCTGTTTGTTTCCCCAAAATGTTTGCCGTCGATTTGTCTTAGTTCTCCTGTTTTCTTGAACGGGGTTGTCGTCTTTGATTTAACTAATGGTGAACGTTTGTATCTAAGGTCAATTTCATAATTTGTTCGTTTTTTGTTGAGGTTATTTATTAGTTTTTATACCCTGAACCCATTAAAAATGGGTATAAGGGTATATTGTATTTGTGCAAAATCCAAATGTATCTAACAGGCAGAAGGAAGCATCTCCGACCCCATAAAGTTGTTACGGAACTGCTTGTTTCTCAGTGGGCCGCGCCGGCTGGCTCATCGGATTCTCTGGGTGTGGTCCCATCCCTGGCCCGCAGTCCGCACAATCGATAACAACAAAGCTACACGTCTGTAGCAAAACAGACTCACACAACACTACTCAAAATGAACCGCATAATCGATAACAAATATTCGGAACTACTAACTCATGAACAAAATACACAGCTGTAACAACTATGAAAATGTAAACAACAAAGGTAAGACACTCAATATAAATTAACAAAAAACACTATTTATCCACCTTACTCTTCCAGATCGGGCCCCGGTTCCGGACCCAGCGTACCCGCCCTACCATGAGACGATCACCTCCACTCGTCTCCCTCATTTTGGCCACTAAATGGCCTATATTAGCCCGTGTCGGCCATACTGCCCACTCTCCCCAACAATATTATTTTAGCCGGACATGATTTCTTTCAATAGGTGCGTATAATTGGTTGCGTTTTCTTAAAATGTATAACAATTATAATCATTGCTTATGGCATTTATCTCGCAGCTGTTTAGGATCTCAAGCAAGCGGATAATTCATTAACTTCACAGGTGCGTATAATGGTTTGTGTATTCTTATAATTATTGGCATTAATATTTCTTTTATTTCTTTCCAATTTGCACGAGGTCTCTATTCAGGTAAATTCGTATTCATGCACGTGAACATTTCTTCTCCAGGTGCGTATTACTGTTGCATATATTTATACTAATTGACAAAGTGCATTAATTCCTAAATTTTTCTCTTATCTTATAGAATTAATTTTTTTATTTTTTTACAACACTGAATGGAACAGGCGACGAAATACTACAAGGATATTGCTAGTCGCCGCAAAAGAAACGCGCAAGGAGGCACTTTAGAGGCAATCGTTGCGCCGATTTAGGAACAATGGCCCACACAATTACTTAAAACTGGGTATGTCACGTATTATGTATTGTATGTATTAAATCGCTTAATTCTACCTTACCCTACCTAAAGAGCTCTCTGGGGGTGGTAAGGGGCGATATAAATGCGTAAATTCAAATTAGGTAAGTATGTGAGCATAGTTCGCGCAAGTGTTAATTTTAGATTTTGATATTTTACAGGCGCAGATGCATCACCTTTGGAGTCTCCCTCACCGTTCGCACTCTAAAGTGAAGCTCGGCGTAAGTGCCTATGTATGTATAAATATATTTTATAAATACAAATTAACTAAATTTAACGATAAAAAAAAATCTACTCCTTTTCAGGGAGTGCAATTAGGAGTCTTCTTCTGACTCTGCCAGGGGCTCGAACGAGGATGGGCAAAAAAATGGAACGGACTCACTCGGTGGATGTGGGCGGGGTCTCGCCTGTGGCCGCTTCTTCGTTGTTGGAGCCCGGTCGTTGGTGGCTCGTCTCGTCGCCTTCAGGTTTGCGCCGACGCTTGCTGGCGGCGTCGCGGATATGGCTGGTTTGCGCCGCTGAACTGAATCCTGGCCTTTGAATGCTTCGTGGGCCTCTCTGGTGCGCGAGCTGGTCTCCTTGGTGCCGGAGCCGCTAATTTTTGGCTTATTTGGTTCGTCTTTCGTCGCACTTAAGTTTTAAGTCTCTTTTAATTTTTTATTATATTTTTTTTTGTGACTCGAGCGGTTTGATTTAGATACATTTATTAAATGGCAAAAAAAACACAAAACCAAAACTTTTATTTGTCTGTTAAGTCATTTGTATTACGCGCCGGCTTAATTTGCAGAAGGGAAAAAATTCGAGTCTTTTGAGCAGATATGCAATATACAACTTTTATGCTCACTTCGAGCTGGCACGCCCGCCGTTAACCGCTGAACAAATCGAACTCCTCCATTTTGGGCAGCCACACCATCGGTGCCGAATTTCGGCACACGCATACATTTGCGAGGCGGGCACCGTTGCTGCTCATCTGCACAGCTGCATTTTTTTGGGTCAACGGCCCAAATGAAGGCCAAGGGCATATCCAAGGGCATGCGATCCACTCTCCTCATATTCTCTTTAAGAGCGAACCGGGCGGCCAATAGCAATCGTCGCTTTTGGCGCCGTGGATCGCATGTCTGGCGTTGCCACCCTTCAAAAATTTGGGCTCCGCCGTGGGCCCAGCTTCACCCCGCATACTCCGACCATATGACAAAAAGATATCGGCGTGGCACGCAACCAACTGAGTAACCCTCGGTGCTGCCGATAACGTCAAATGCAACATCACCACGCAGATTATTGTAACGACATGAAGGACAGTTACAAGGAATCTGCGTGCGCATTTCATGGATTGACCCAGCCGGCTAATAACGATGCCCAACGTAGGCCACACCCACGACAAGTAATCTATATTTTTGCCGCTGACCCACAAAAAAAAGGGGGGACTGGCGCTGCCGCCGCCGTTGCCTGGCAGGGAGGTGAGCAAATTACGATTATGTTCGTATATCTTTTGCGTGGAAGACGCCTAGCACGCGTCCCTGGAGATCTTCCAACTCGTAGGCGTTGGTTCCCACGGCTCGGACGACGCGGCTCTTCAAGAATTTCCGGGCGAACTTGGCATTGAAGGCTTTGCCGAAGCTGCTTAGTGCGAAGTTGCGCCTCCACACTTCCTGCCCGGTTCCAAATGGAGCTGTCGCGCGCGGTGGTCGTACCGTTGGCGACTTCGCTCGTATGCGGTGTGCAGGTGGTCCTTGACTTGGCTTCGGATTACAGCCAGTCTGTCCTTTGCGTCAAGGTCAGAAATACTGTGGTCGGCCAATGATCTCAGCTTCCTGGCCAGTTTGTAACTGGAACCATTCAGGTACATCTGCTGTCCAAAGACCGCGAAGAACGGAGTGACTCCCGTAGCGCTGTGGACCGCATTCCGGATCGCCACTTCCACCTCTGGTAGGTACGCGTCCCATTCCCGATGATCCTGACCCAGGTAGGTTCTGATTGCTGACAGCACTGTGCGGTTCACGCGTTCGGCGGCGTTGCTCTGAGGCGAATACACTGGTGTGCGCAGGTGAGTAATGCGAAACGCCTGGACCATCGCATCGAACGACTTTGACACGAATTGTCGTCCATTATCCGAATGGATCACTTCCGGCACGCCAAATTTGAAGAACACCTCATGCACTAGGAAGTTCACGACATCCGCCGCGGTGGCTTCCCTCATGGCCTTCAGGAAGGTAAACTTCGAGAAGTGGTCTACGACGACGAATATCCACGCATGCCCTCGTTTCGACCGTGGATACTTCCCCAAGAAGTCGATATATAGCTTCTGGAAGGGGCGGTCGGTGCGCACTTCTTCCCCAATTCCGACCTGCATTCGGTAGTTCTGTGCCTTGGTCTCCTTGCATGTATCGCATTTCCGAACATAGTCCCTGACTTGTATGGCCATGTTGGGCCAATAATATCGCCTGCGCAGCGCGTGCAGCGTTTTCCTCATGCCTCCATGAGCTGACGTCTCGTCCGCGTGTGCTTGTTGGATGAGTCCTGCCGTCAGCGACTCCGGCACCCAGAGCTTCCAACTTGTGCCTTCGACCTCATCCTCCAAGCTCCCGTGCACGGTCCTCTTGAACAGAAGTCCGTCCTGCACTCTAAGGTCCGGCAACTTCCCTTGTTGGCTCATCACCTCTTTTATCAGCTCTCGATATTCGGTGCTCTCGAACTCCGGGGTCTGAAATCCCAACAGATCTTCCGGGGTCAGTTCGACCTCTTCCACGCTTCGGGACAATGTGTCTGCGACGACGTTGTCGGCTCCCTTGCGGTACTGCATGGAGAAAGGGAACGCTTGCAGTTCTAGGGACCACCTGGCTAATCTCCCGCTCAAGTCTTTGAGACTCATAAGCCACTGCAGACTCGCATGATCGGTGATTACCGTGAACGGCATCATCTCCACGTACGGCCGGAATCGATGTATGGCCAGTTTGGCGGCTAGGCATTCCTTCTCGGTCACCGAATAGTTGATCTGGTGCTTGTTGAGTTTGGCCGAGAAGAATGCGATCGGCCTTTCCTGTTGTTCGTCGTCTAGCTGGAACAACACGGCTCCTACTCCGTAGTGAGATGCGTCGCATTGGATGAAGAATGGTCTTCGAAAATCCGCGTGAACTAACACCGGGGCTGTGGTGAGGGCTAACTTCAAGCTTTCTATGGCTTCTATGGCCTCGTCGCTCAACACAAATCTACCCGTTCTCTTCTTAAGGGCATCAGTCAACGGTACCGATATCTCGGCGAAGTTCTTTATGAATCGGCGATACCACCCCGCCGTACCTAAGAAGCTTCGTAGTTCTTTGACCGTCCTCGGATTCGGGATGTTCCGGATCGCTTCTACTCTTCCCGGATCCATGCGCAGTGTCCCGCCGCCTATGATGAAACCCAGGTAGTTTAGGTTGCGGAAGCAGAATTTTGACTTCGCCATGCCTATGGTGAGGTTCGCGTTCCTCAGACACTCGGCCACCAATTCCAAGTATTTTAAGTGCGTTGGAAAATCTGCCGATATTATCAGCAAGTCGTCTAGGTATACGAATACGTTGGACCTCAGATTCGCCGGGATTACCTTGTCCATGAGCCTGCAAAGTTGTTAAGCGGCGTTGCAGAGCCCGAATGGCATGTGGCGGAACTGGTACAGCGGCCTCCCTGGTACAGTAAACGCCGTATACGCCCTGCTCTTCTCCTCCATCTCGATTTGCCAGAACGCGAACTTAAGGTCGACGCTAGAGATAAAATGAGTCTCGTCGATTCGCGATAGGATGCCCTCGATGCATGGAAGCGGGTAAGCGTCTTTTACCGTCACACTGTTTAATTTCCTGGCATCTAAGCAAAACCTGTTCTTCCCAGGCCTCATCACCACCGTCGTCCGGTTGCTCCAGGGGCTGTCACTCTCCTCGATGATGCCCAACTTTAGCATTTTATCCACCTCGGCCCACACGATCTCCTGTTTGGCCGGGGACAGCGGATAATGTCTGTCTTTCACGGGTTCTGCTCCCTCGATCAGCTGAATTCGGTGCTGCAGCAGGTGAGTTTTCCCTAGGCCATCCTTCTCAAATTGGAGAAATCTGCGCTTCACGCTTTCCAACTGACTCCTCTGATCGTTGTCCAGGTCCCACATTTCCGGATCCGTCACGCAGTCGTCGTCGTCCCGGTAATAAGCCACCTCTGGGTTCGCTACCGTTACCTCAGATGCCTCTGGTGGTGTTTCGGACTTTCTGGCCGGACCGAGCAGCTCTGGTGCGATCTCGAAGGCTCGCCAGAAGTCGATTCCCAGGTATAGTTCCTGTCGCAGGTCCGGGCACATGTAAAATACGATATCTTCCTTTCTATTCCCGTATTTCACAGGCAGAACAACGCGACCTAAAATTGGGCGATTGGCACCCGCCGCTGTCCTCACCATCGATTCGTATGGCCGCGCTTCCCATCCCAGTTTCTCCACTAACTCCCGGCATCCTTGTCCCAACAGACTGACTGAGGCCCCCGTGTCCAGCAACCCTTTCATCTTGGCCCCAGCGACCTCCACTTCGGCGAATACTCGTGAGTCTATACTATCCTCCCGTCTCACCGCTTCGACGACCTGGCGCCTGGTAATCCTGCGTCTGCGGAAGCGCGCACGTGCCTTCACCATTCTCCGGGTGGCTAGCGTCATCCCCTCCAGCTGTCGCTCACCAAAAATTCTATTTCGGGCCGACATGTAAGCCCGAACACGTTCTTCGTATGGTAAGCCCCTAAGTGTTCCTCCTTTGCTTATACTATTATTATAATCAGCCTTATCCTGATCCTTATTCCAAATCTCCGTCTCCTTTCCAATGATTATTGGCTCTGGTAGGTGCCCCTCTCCTGCTTCCCCGCGGTCGCCGTCCCGGAACGCGTCTGTCCCGCCATCACCGCGCTCCCTCTGGGGTTTCCCGGACAGTTTTCACACTGCGAGCAGAAAGTGTCCGGGTTTCCACACCTATAGCAGAATATTTTCCGCTCCTTGGACAGGCAGTCTCTAAAGACGTGATCGAACTGTCTGCAGTTCCAGCATACAATTCGGGATGAGTTTCTGCTTCGCACGAATGCCTCCTCCCGTT